CTTTTACACTTCAGGGAGTTTATAATTTTGTCTCACATTTAGTCAGGAACTACTAGCAAAGCAATGCCTTCTTCAGTTGCTTCTGAGAGAATGCAGATTTATGTATGTGTACACTTTTCCATATCACCAAATATGACCATGATTTTAGCAAGGCCTCCTTTGCTCTTTTTCTGATCTCCCTTTTAAACTTCTGGCTTGTCTTCCTCTACAGGTATTGTACCATGCTGTTAGTCTCCACATATTGCTAACTGGTTATCCTATTCTTTTGGGCAATTCTTAGCCATAAGTTGCTCCACAGGCCAAATAAAGTCAGGCCTCTCAGGAAGGGCCAGGGTCTTGCCAGTTTTTAAGGCTTGCACTGACCCCCTCCCTTGGCAGAGCCTCTGTATTATGGAGCAGTATCTGGAGGAGATGGGAGTTCTACCTTGGACCATGCCCACTGGAATACTTCTTGCATAACAATAGCTCTTCTGCAACATGAATTTGGGTGGGAAAATGAGTGCAGTCTCTAGTTCAGTTGTTATGACTTCCACTATTATTGAGTTCTGTCAATTTTGAATAAGTTGAGTTTCAATTTTGTGAATCTTCTGCTCACTCTCCAGATACTTTGAATGATTGCCTTTGCTAATTTTAACCAATGAAACAGGTATTTCCCTGAGAAGAAGTTCCATTGAATTCTTCGCAGTGCCACCCAGAGGTCCCCCACATTCCAATTTTCAGTTGATTATGCAGAAAGTGGTAATCAAGTTTGGGAATTTAACTTAGTCCATGAAGCTGATTATAAATGCAAAAATGATTCATTTCTAATTTTTAAAAGCTGGAATTAATGGTTAATTTTAAAAAATTATATACTATGTTTAACCTTATTACCCCAGGTAACAGTAAGTTGCATACAAACGGATGCAAGGGCAACATACAACGCAAAAAAATCAGTCCTGTTCAATTTCGTAGGTGTCATTATATCCAAAGCTGGAGTACTCATAAATGGCCAGGATGTCAGTCTATTAAATACATGCTCATTCATTCATACTTTTTGCATTTTGTCCAAAAAGGCTCAAGCAATCTGTTTGCCCATGAAGGTAAATTATAATAAATGCAAATTATCTCAGTAAAAATTACAGAGAATAACTTTTCTAGTAAACAATTCTACTATGCTAATAAAAGTTATGTGTGACACCATAGCCTTACTTTTCTTTCCAGATCAACCCCAAGATCAAAAGGAAGGAGGAAGTATAATAAAAAGGAAAAAAATGGGCTGGGTGTGGTGGCTCACGCCTGTAATCCCAGCACTTCCGGAGGCCATGGCGGGCGGATCACAAGGTCATGAGATTGAGACCATCCTGGCCAACATGGTGGAACCCCGTCTCTACTAAAAACACAAAAATTAGCTGGGTGTGGTGGCATGTGCCTGTAATCCCAGCTTTAGGAGGCTGAGGCAGGAGAATCACTTGAACCAGGGTCAGAGGTTGCAGTTAGCCGAGATCGCGCCACTGCACTCCAGCCTGGTGACAGGGTAAGACTCCGTTTCAAAAAAAAAAAAAAAAAAAAAAGGGAAAAAAAGGAAAAAAATGTTAGAACTCTAATAGCAACTTTAGTATTCTTTAATATTGAACATTAGGTCAATAATAATGTCACCAATTCTACACAAATACTGGGTAAAGAAAATACTTTTTTACAACTGCAATAATAAACCAAATTTTCCATTTCTTTTATCTTCTCGACATGTTTTGTACCAAAGCAAAATAGCTATTCTTTATTTAAGTATTACGGTTTTTGCCATGAAGAATCTTCAAAAAATATTTTTTCAGATAACTATATTTGGCTTATTTGCACTGCCATATAATCTAAAGTGAGTTAAAAAATTAAAAGAGGGCTGGGAGCGGTGGTTCATGCCTGTAATCCCAGCACTTCAGGAGGCCGAGACGGGCGGATCCCAAGGTCAAGAGTTCAAGACCATCCTGGCCAACATGATGAAACTCCATCTCTACCAAAAATACAAAAATTAGCTGGGCATGGTGGCACGTGCCTGTAGTCCCAGCTACTCGGGAGGCTGAGGCAGGAGAATTGCTTGAACCCGGGAGGCAGAGGTTGCAGTAAGCTGAGATTGCACCGCTGCACTCCAGCCTGGTGACAGAGTGAGACTCCATCTCAACAACAACAACAAAAACAAACAAACAAACAAAAGTTAAAAGAGAAATATGCACAAAAAAAGGTATCCAGGTATATCTAAGTATTTTATTTGTGGGGAAAAAAGATACCCAGGGAATCATTATTGAACAAAAAGACAAACCTAAGGGAAAAATTATTTTTCATAAATTTAAGTTTATAAAAGTTTCTTTAATGATAAAATAATCAAATTCCTTCTCACAATGGAAAGTTCTACATGATTTTAAGGACCAAAATATCATGATTGAAAAGCAATATGGAAAGTTATTTGCAGTACAAACTATCACATTTACTTAAAAAAGCAGCCAAAGTTGCTTTTTTCCAGGTATACAGGCAACATTCCACACCATTCAATACTACCTTCCTTTTGTGAAACATTTTCTTCTGGTGGCTTCCAGAATATCAGCCTCCTGATTTTTCTTCTAGGTCACTGGTGGGTCCTTCTCAGTCTTTTGCTGGTTCCTCTTCTTCTCTGCTTCTCAATGCTGGCATACCTTAGGTCTCTGTCTTTTGCCACCTTCTCTTCTCTAGATGTACTAGGTGATCTCATCCAAAGTCATGGTTATTCCCTAATGACTCTCAAATTAATTTTCCAGTCCCAAATAGTACTCTGAAGTCCAGACTTGGATATCCAATTGCCTACACGGCATTTCCAACCTAACATAGCCAAAACAGAATTTGATTCCACATTCCTCCAAACCTGTCCCTTCTCCAGTACACTTCTCAGAATTTCATAGTTCACCCAATTGACAGGTCAAAAATCTGAGTCATCCTTTACTCCTCTCCTTCTTCCTCCTCATATCCAAGCCATCAGCAGACATTATCTTCTCTATTTACAAAACAGAGTCCTGAATCCAACCTCTAACCCCTCCCACCTCAACATTTATCACACTAGTCCAAAACTGTTACCTAGAACACTATAAAAACCTAACCAGTCTCTGATTTTCTCTTTAATCTTCTTCACTCTAACCTTAGCATTGTAGCTCCATATTTCATAAAGGTAAATCAAATTATGTCACTCCTCTTCTCAATCTAATTGCTTCCCATTTACATATCCACGCCAGGCTATAAGGACCTGGCTTTCTTTTTTTTTTTTTTTTTTTTAAGACGGAGTCTCGTTCTGTGGCCCAGGTTGGAGTGCAGTGGCCGGATCTCAGCTCACTGCAAGGTCCGCCTCCCGGGTTTACGCCATTCTCCTGCCTCAGCCTCCCGAGTAGCTGGGACTACAGGCGCCCGCCACCTCGCCCGGCTAATTTTTTGTATTTTTTAGTAGAGACGGGGTTTCACCGTGTTAGCCAGGATGGTCTCGATCTCCTGACCTCGTGATCCGCCCGTCTCGGCCTCCCAAAGTGCTGGGATTACAGGCTTGAGCCACCGCGCCCGGCCAAGGACCTGGCTTTCTTATGTCACTTCTTACCATCCTTCTCTCTTAATCACTATGCTGTAACCTTACTGGCCTCTTTGTTGTTCCTCAAACATGCCAAGCAAGTTAACATTTTAGGGCCTTTCCACTTGTTTTTTACCTTTGTCCAGAATGCTCTTTCCCCAAATATTTATATGGCTCATAAGCTTCCTTCATTGGGGCCTCTGCATATGTCATCTCTTCAAACAGGCTTTCCTAAACCATCTTATCTAAAGCTTCAACCCTCTCCACATTCTGTCCCAATGGGATTCATCCCGGGATACAAAGATGATTCAATATACACAAATCAGTAAACATGATATATCATGTTAACAGAATGAAGGGCAAAAGCCATATGATAATCTCAAAAGATACAAAAAAAGCATTTGACAAAATTCAACACATTCTATCCCTATTCCCTGCCCTTTCTTTATAGCATTTGATATATGTTATTGTCTGTCTTCTCCATTGGAATGTAAACTCCATAAAAACAGGTACTTTGGGCTGGGTGCAATGGTTCATACCTCTAATCCCAACACTTTGGGAGGCCAAGGCCGGTGGATCACTTGAGATCAAGAGTTCGAGACCAGCCTGATCAACATGACGGAACTCTGTCTCTACTAAAAATACAAAACTTAGCTGGGCGTGGTGGCTGGCACCTGTAATCCCAGCTACTTGCGAGGCTGAGGCAGGAGAATCGCTTGAACCAGAAAGTAGAGGTTGCAGTGAGCCAAGATCATGCCACTGCACTCCAGACTAGGCAACAGAGCGAGACTCCATCTCAAAAAACAAAAACAAAAAAAGCCCCAGGTACTTTGTATTGGTCACAACTGCATAACCAGCACACAGAAGAGTACCTGGCACAGAGTAAGGAGCTCAATAAATATTTATTGAATCAATAAATGAGTCAATGGATGAATGGGATTTCTAGTCTGAACACCATCCAATAATATAGTTTAGGGTTTGTTTTTTTTTAAATGGGGGAAAAAAAAGGAACCCCAAGTATGCATCCTTAAAGACAAAAATTAATTCAGCTTGATTCTTCTCAAATTGAGGTAAATTTTTTTTTTTTTTTGAGACAGAGTCTCGCACTGTCGCCCAGGCCGGAGTGCAGTGGCGCGATCTTGGCTCACTGCAACCTCCGCCTCCCGGGTTCAAGCGATCCTCCTGCCTCAGCCTCCTGAGTAGCTGGGGCTATGGGCACATGCCACCATGCCCGGCGAATTTTTTGTATTTTTAGTAGAGATGGGGTTTTACCATATTGGTCAGCCTCATCTCAAACTCCTGACCTCATGATCCACCCAACTTGGCCTCCCAAAGTGCTGGGATTATAGGCGTAAGCCACCACGCCCAGCAGGCAAAATTTTATAGTACATTTTCAGCAAGATATTCTAGCTATTATTATTTTTTTTAAACTTCAGAATTCCTTCTAAAAGTAAAATTTCAGTTAGTTTATTTAGTCCTTAACACTTAAAAACTGAAGCTACAGACACACACATACACATATACATATACAATACACACAAACAAAATAGACCAGTTCCATGAAATCAGACATATACAGGAATGTCTTGATTACCCAACAAATCCTCTTCCCTTCCTTCCCTCATCAAATTGCTATGATTGAAGGCCCAGGAAGTTACCAACTACTTAGGGCTTTTAGAGTCATACATGTTGCATCCTGTTAACTTGGTGCTAGTGCTGTTGTTCACAGTAAGAGAAATGACAATATCCCCAGAGGCAGCAAAGTATTTTGCATGTTTATGCCTGTGAATTAACTGTCACCACATATTGCCTGCTGTCTTCCATCAATGCAGCTCATAGTACCCCAAAATGTGAAAAAATCCTACCACAAAACAGATGTGTCTTTTCATGTATAATTTGGTAGAAAGCAGAGCCTGATGATGAAGGGGTCCATTTTTCACTGGTAGGCTAAAAAAAATCTAAATCTTTAAAAATCAGTTAGCCACACCAAGGCTCTCCTAAGCCATGAACAGAAGGCCAGTCTGAGTACTCCTTGAGGATGGCAATCTGTTAGTGAAATGAAAATGGGAACTCAAGGTGAGCCATTTTGCTCTAGCAATGAGGAGGGAGTTTTGCCCAGTATGCTCAGTTTATGTCAACATTCATTTAATATTGATTGTTGTAGTTTATGCCCTCTGCTCTGGGAACGGAAGAATGATGAACACTACTTCTTATAAAAAGTTTCAAGCCTTGTAACCCCTGTGAAAATAAATAGTCCAAATACCAGCTCCATTTCTTTCCCTGCAGGCACAGAAAAAGGAAAATTACTTATCAAATATTTTACTATGCTTTTTCTCTATTTCCTTCTCTTTCCCTAGGAAGAGTTTGCAGCATCCTGCATGCACATATCAAAATTAGTTCCGGGGGAAAATGAGCTCAGTCACTAAGTAACATTTAAACCAGAAAGTACCCAATTCCAAGGGCTAAACATCCATTTTATTATGTTGGCAAAAAAATTTAAGTACTACGCAATGGAAATGTGTCATCATTCTCACACTCTAGGAGATAACATAGGAGCCGATATTATTACATTACTGCCTATATTAAATATATAAATAGCAGTTTTTGATAATGAGATAATTATATATGGTTTGTTTTTTTATTTTTTGAGATAGGGTTTTGCTCTGTTTGTTGCCCAAGCTGGAATGCAGCAGTGATCACAGCTCGCTGTAGCCCCGACTTCCTAGCCTCAAGCAATCCTCCTGCCTCAGCCTCCCGAGTAGCTGGGACCACAGGCATAAGCCACTATGCCTGGCTAATTTTTTAAAATTTTAGTACAGGCATGGTCTTGCTACATTGACCAGGATGATCTCAAATTCCAGGACTCCGGGTGCGGGGGCTCATGTCCATAATCCCAGCACTTTGGGAGGCCAAGGCGGGTAGATCACTTGAGGTCAGGAGTTCGAGACCAGCTGGCCAACAGGGAGAAACATCTTCTCTACTGAAAAAACAAAAATTAGCCAGGCATGGTGGTACACACCTGTAATCCCAGCTTCTCAGGAGGCTGAGGCAGGAGAATCGCTTGAACCCGGGAGGCAGTGGTTGCAGTGAGCTGAGATTACACCACCGCACTCCAGCCTGGGGGACAGAGGAAGACTCCTTCTCAAAAAAAAAAAAAAAAAAAAAAAAAAAAAAAAATCCAGGCCTCAAGGGATCCTCCTGCCTCGACCTCCCCAAGTGCTGGGATTGCAGGAATGAGCCACAATGCCCGGCCTATGTACGGTTTTGTTACAGCAGTCTCATTACAGTCACACTTTATATATATGCAACTGTAACTATCAAGAGTTATATTCTAGATAAGACTAGAAAGAATAAGTGCCAATAAATTCACATTAAAGTCATTGGAATGAATTTGGAAGGCAAACACTTCATTTTGATTTTGTGGAGGCAGCAGGCTTAAGGTTTGGAAAAAAGGAAAGGCATAAATTCTCTTGATGAAATTAAGCTGTATGAAATCCCTCAACATGATGAAAGTAAATTTATTTACCTGAATAGAGCTCACGTTTACTGTCCTTTCTTCTGGGCTTTCCTTAAAAACAAACAAACAAAAAAACAAAACAAAACAAAAAAGAAGTGGGGAGATATGGGGATAGAAATACTTGGTTAGTACAAATCATCAGAAAATTAAGATGGCACTTCACTTGCTCATTTGCAAAGTTCTAGTCCTACCATCACTTTTGGATTCCTTTCAAATATCCATCAGCTTTAAGAAATAATATTTTAAAAATTATTGCTAAGTTAAAACTTCTAAACTATTTATAACAGGCCGGGTACAGTGGCTCACACCTGTAATCTCAACACTTTGGGAGGCCAAGTCGGGCAGATCTCTTGAGACCAGGAGTTCGAGATCAGCCTGGTCAACATGAGACCTTGTCTCTATTCAAATAAATAAACTATGTATAACACAATGAATGCCTTTTTAACAGAATTGTTAGAATGATTAAAATAGTTGTTTTATGTAGGCAGGTTTATATCATATATCATTTTATAAACATAAGATAGTAAATATAAACAAAATAAACTGGTGAAAGTACTTCTAAAACTTCATATTCGGAGTACAATCCCTCTATTCAGAGTACAACTCCTCTGAGTTGTGGGATGTCTGTATTTTTTCACACCACATCATCCTCTGTCCCATAGTGTTGGTTACGTACCATTTCTTTTCTCTTTTCACTGACACATAATAATTGTACATATCTATGTGGTACAATGCAATGTTTCAATATGTGTATACATTGTTTAATGATCAAACCATGGTAATTAGCATATCTATCACTGTAAACATTATTTCTTTGCTGTGGGAACATTCAAAGTCCTCTCTTGGCTACTGGAAACATACAACGCATTTCTTAAAAGAACTAAAAGCTAGGCCGGGCATGGTGGCTTATGCCTATAATCCCAGCACTTTGGGAGGCCGAGGAAGGTGGATCACAAGGTCAGAAGTTTGACACCAGCCGGGCCAACGTGGTGAAGCCCCGTCTCTACTAAAAAAAAAAAAAAAAATACAAAAATTAGCCGGGCATGGTGGCATGCACCTGTAATTCCAGCTACTCGGGAGGCTGAGGCGGGAGAATTGCTTGAACCTGGGAGGCGGAGGTTGCAGTGAGCCGAGATCATGCCACTGAACCCCAGCCTGGGCAACAGAGCAAGACTCCATCAAAAAAAAAAAAAAAAGAACTAAAAGCTAATGGTGCTGGGGTCTCAATTATATAAAGCTAACTACTTTTGGCTTCTGCTTCAGGAAAGTCCATAACAAGTATGAATCACTGCTTCTGCCCTCCCTCCCTCCAAATCATTGGGTTTTTGAGGATTACAACAATGCTCCAATATTGTCTCCAGATTTTTTCCCCAAGCTGCTGGCATTCATCCTGCAAAGTCTGATTCTGGCAGTCTGCCTGTGCACACTCCAATAGCAAATGACAAATATGCCATTATTCCTACCTGACTGACAATGATCACACGATGTATTTGATCTCTTAGGAGCAGGAAAATGAAAAAAAAAGTTTTTGAAATTGATGAATATACTACTCACTGATGAATTCCATATTCTATTTATTTTTCTAGCTTGAACATTTCTTCTGAACACCAAGCTCCAACTGTCCACTTACATTTTTTTCTTGGATGTCTAACAAGCATCTCAAATTTAAGCAGGTCAAACAGAACTTGATTCTCAAATTGTCCTCCTCACAAAACAAAATAACCTCTCCTGTTCTCTCATCAGTATTCCTCTTAATAATAAATGGAACTACCACCAACTCAACTGTTCAAGTCAAAAAACCAAAAAGTCAGCCGGGCGCGGTGGCTCACGCCTGTAATCCCAACACTTTGGGAGGCCGAGGCAGGCGGATCACCTGAGGTCAGGAGTTCAAGACCAGCCTGGTTAACATGGTGAAAACCCATCTCTACTAAAAATACAAAAAAATTAGTTGGACACGGTAGCGGGCGCCTGTAATTCCAGCTACTTGGGAGGCTGAGGCAGGAAAATCACTTGAACTCGGGAGGCGGAGGTTTCAGAGAGCCGAAATCATGTCATTGCACTTCAACCTGGGCAACAAGAGCGAAACTCTGTCTCAAAAGAAAAAAAAGGCCAGGCGCGGTGGCTCACGCCTGTGATCTTAGCACTTTGGGAGGCCGAGGAGGGCAGATCACGAGGTCAGGAGATCAAGACCATCCTGGCTAACACGGTGAAACCCCATCTCTACTAAAAAATACAAAAAATTAGCCAGGCATGGTGGCGGGCACCTGTAGTCCCAGCTACTCGGGAGACTGAGGCAGGAGAATGGCGTGAACCCAGGAGGCAGAGCTTGCAGTGAGCCGAGATCGCACACTGCACTCCAGCCTGAGCGACAGAGGGATACTCCGTCTCAAGAGAAAAAAACAAGTCATTTTCTCATTCCCACTTCCAATCAAACTATCATCAAGTCCCATCTGTTCTACCACTGCAATATACCTCAAATCAGTCAATTTCTGTCAATTTCCATTACTACCCCTTGGATACAAATCACTATCAATATCTGTTGTCTAGACTTCAGCAATAGCCACCTAATGGGTATTCCTGTTCCCACTCGGGCTTCTTCTTATAACCCCATACTCCAAAAAGAAGCCAAAGTGATATCTATTGGCCGGGCACAGTGGCTCATGCCTATAATCCCAGCACTTTTGGGAGGCCTAGGCGGGTGGATCGCTTGAGGTCAGGAGTTCAAGACCAGTCTGACCAACATGGCAAAACCCCATCCCTACTAAAAATACAAAAATTAGCCGGGGGTGGTGGCACATGCCTGTAATCCCAGCTACTCGGGAGGCAGAGGCAGGAGAATCATTAGAACCTGGGAGGAGGAGGTTGTGGTGAGCTGAGATTGCGCCATTGCACTCCAGCCCGGGTGACAGAGCGAGACACTTTTTTTTTTTTTTTTTCGGAAGAAAAAAAAAAAAAGCCATACTGCCCAAAGCAATTTACAGATTCCATGCTATTCCTTTTAAACTACCAATAATGTATCCATCGACAAATGAATGGATAATGTGGTAGATATATACAATGGGATATTATTCAACCATACAAAATAATGAAATTCTGTCATTTGTGGCTATGTGGTTGGAAGTGGAGTACATTATGGTAAATGAAATAAGCCAAGCACAGAAAGACAAACATTGCATGTTCTCACACATATGTGGGAGCTAAAAAAGTGGATCTCATGGAGGTAGAGAGTAGAATGATGGTCACCGGAGGCTAGGAGAAGGGGGTGGGGGACAGGTGTGAAGAGAGGTTGGTTAATGGGTCCAAAATATGTTAGATAGAAGGAATACGTTCTAGTGTTTAATATCACAGTAGTGTGACTATAAGTAATAATTTATTGTATATTTCAAAGTGGCTAGAAGAGATTTGGGATATTCTTAACATGGAAAAATGATAAGTGTTTGAATTAATAGATATCCCATTTACTCTAACTTGATCATTACATATTCTATGCTGTATCAAAATATCATATAAATACCCCAAATTAAAAAAAACAATCAAAAAAAAAAAAAAAAAAGAAAAAGAAAAACAATGTCCCTTTTTGTTTTTGAGACAAGGTCTCACTCTGTCACCCAGGCTAGAGTTCAATGGAGCAATCACAGCTCACAGCAACCTTGACTTCCTAGGCTCATGTGATTCTCCCACCTCAACTTCCCAAGTAACTGAGAGCACAGGTGCATGCCACCAAACCAAGCTAAGTTTTTATGTAAAGACAGCATCACACTATATTGCCAAGGCTGGTCTCAAACTCCTGGGCTCAAGCAATCCTCCCACCTTAGCCTCCCAAAGTGCTGGGATTACAAGCATGAATCACAGTGCATGGCCCCAGTGTCCTCTCTTGCTTGTCACTGATCCAGGGTCAATTTACTCCACCTCTTTGAGTTCAGCTTCCTCTCCTGTAAAACAGGGATGGTGACACCTAGTTTTGAGGCCTAATACATATATGTACATTATAGGCCAAGTCTGGCAAGTCACAAGTCTTCAATAATTGTTAATTCCTGGCCATAATAAAAATAAAATGAAAAAATAATAGATGTTGGCATGGATGCGGTGAAAAGGGAACCCTTCTACACTGCTGATGGGAATGTAAACTAGTACAACTACTATGGAAAACAGTGTGGAGATTCCTTAAAGAACTAAAAGTAGAACTACCATTTGATCCAGCAATCCCACTACTGGGTATCTACCCAGAGGAAAAGAAGTCATTATACCAAAAAAAGGCACTTGTGCATGCATGTTTATAGCAGCAGAACTTGCAATTGCAAAAATGTGGAACTAACCCAAACACCCATCAATGAATGAGTGGGTAAATAAACTGTGGCATATATATACGATGAAATACTACTCAGTCATAAAAATGAATTAATTAATGGCATTTGCAGCAATCTAGATGGGATTGGAGACTATTATTCTAAGTGAAGTAACTCAGGAATGGAAAAAAAAAAACATTGTATGTTCTCACTCATAAGTGGGAGCTAAGCTATGAGGATGCAAGGGCATAAGAATGACACAATGGACTCTGGGGACTCGGGGAAAGGGTGGGAAGGGAGTGAGGGATAAAAGACTACAAATTGGGTTCAGTGTATACTGCTCGGGTGATGTGTGCACCAAAATCTCACAAATCACCACTAAATAACTTACTCATGTAACCAAATACCACCTGTTCCCCAAAAACCTATGGAAATAAAACATTGAAAAATAATAAATACATAAATAAACAAATAAATAATTGTTAATTATTTTTCCCTTTTAGCAATAAATCAATCTTCCTGAGGCTATTCCTTCCCCTTTCAGATGGGAATAATGGTGCCTAAACTTACAACCTTACAGGACTGCTTTGATAATCAAAGAGTCAATGTATATTGTGGTACTTAAAAAAAGAGGATAAGGCAGGAGCGGTGGCTCACACCTGTAATCCCAGCACTTAGGGAGGCCGAGGAGGGAGGACCACCTGAGGTCAGGAGTTCGAGACCAGCCTAACCAACATGGTGAAACCCATCTCTACTAAAAACACA